AGCAAGACCGGCGGGCCCCACATGTCAGGGCAGGGCAGCGGCAGCGGCCACAATTAAAGCTGTAGGCACCGCCCGAGTTGGTGCACTGGAAACTGGCACTGCAGGGGGTGGCAGCACAGTGTGACACACGGGCGACTTCTTCACCAGGCGGAGTGCAGCCTTCCTCAGGCTTCAGGGCCGCTGTGGACCGAATCGGCCTGGGCTCAGTATCTTTCAGGCGGAGCGCGCTCCCTGCAGCTTAACCGAGCCCGGTGCTCTCCTCTTCCTTCCGGGGTGAGCTGGGAGTCAGTCCTTACAGAGCTGCTCTGGGAAGAGCGCTGGCAAAAGGTCACAGCATCGCCTTGGAACTCTTACAAATTTAGGAAACTGTCAATGAACAAAAGCAAATTACTATCCAATATAAAAGTGCATCTCAGCTATACAGCAACATGATCCTTTAATTAGAGTCCTAGATTTACACCAGGCTTTGAAAGGCAGGCAAGACTGCTCAAACTGTGGGGTGCTTTGGTATCCAAATGATACCAAATGTAAATGGCAGAAATGGTAACAATTTTTACTGATAGATTTATGTTTGAGTGAGATGCATTGGTATGAAAGCGAACATTCACTGGTTACCTTCTATATATTAAACGTAAGTCCCCTTAACTTCTACAAAACCCATAAACCTTTTAGATTTAGCCCTCAGATGAATACACCTTTCTAGCCCCAGATACAGACATGCACGGTAATAACCCAACATAACAGTTGTTCACTTAAGCAATTATAAAAGGCTTACAAAAATTCAACATTTAAATAAACCCTAGTTCTATTAAGACTCAGTTTCCTAAGTAATTGAAAGCCTAATAGTGGAAAAAATACACAAATATTTTGATAAAATGTAAAACTTTTCTTTTAGATCAAGTTTTGTGTTACAAAAATGTATTAAGCTTTCTTGAAAAGGGAAAGAATCCAGGTATGGTGGCACATGCCTCTAACCCCAGAATTCTGGAAGGCTGAGGCAGGAGAATCACAAAGTTAATCTCAAGCTGCTTTCTTAGTGAGAACCTGTAGTAAAAAAAAAAAAAAAGAGAGAGACAGAGAGAAAGAGGAAAAGGAGGAGGAGGGAGAGAAAGTGGGCCCAGTAGTGGTAGAGAAGGATGTAGCTCAGTGCAAAGACCCGAGTTCAAGCCCAGTACAGAAGGAAATGAAGCAAATCCTGTCTTGTTCCTGGTCCTGGGAATGTGGTGGTATTTTCACTCTGAACTGGAGATGTCTCTGCGGATGGAGGGGACCCAGGTGGGCCATGGTAGCAGAGTAAAAGATCCCGCCACAAATATTCTTCTCGAATTTCTCTTGTTGAATACTCAGAGAAACTGCAGGCCTCTGCTGAACAGCAGTGACTCCAGAAAGCTTTCCTCTGCTGAGAAGCAAATTAAACAGCAGCTAAAAATTTCCCATCCTATGTCCCCTTCCTCTCCTCTCTCCACAGGAAGCAAGCTCCAGGCCTGGTGTCTGCCCAGAGGTCAGCTTGGGTTGCATAGAACCCAACCCCTGCCTTTTGGGCACCCTCCACCTCCGCTGCCTACAGAGTCAGGGACCTGTTACCCACCAGAGTGGGATATGCGCCTCTCACTCTTCCGGATGAGTTTACCAACCTCAAAACCCAGGAGCTTATGTATCCTGTTTACTTGGAAAACATTTGTTTTCCAAGTGCATCTGTTTCCCTACACATATCTCAGATCTGTCCTTCTTTATAGCACAGTAGTATTCCTTAAGTACAGAGAGAATAATGAAAGATGGATAGAAGGTCTCTTGCAATAGGAAAGTGGTCCAAGGGAAAAAGCAAGAGGGGTGAGGAGGAGAGGAAGAAAAAATAACTACAGATACTTCATGTACAGGAATATAATAGCCTCAATTAATGGCAACATCATATGCCATAACGTGAACTAAGATTAATAATATTAGCAATAGTGAACAATTGGATAGGACATTGGAGGAAGAGGAAGAGAGAGGAGGGAAGGAGACAAAAAATCAAACTATGTCATGTTCACGTAACCAGTCCCCAAGATGTCTGTAAACCGCATGAACTGCAGACAAGCACTAGTACAATAAAAAATGAAAAATTAAACAAAAAAGCGGTACACCATTAAAGCTAGAATGCCCTTGGTATAGCATTTGTTTATCTCACTTCCTGTGCAACAGGTGCTCCAGAGACATGGTGGTCGCAGTTCTCTGGGGACAGTGGCAACCTGGCCAATAGGGTACAGGCTATGTGCAACCCAGCAGGCCATGATGACAAACCAGGGCCAGAGAACAGGCCTTTAAGGTCGATGGATTCCATCTCACACAAATCCTTCACGAACATGGGGCTCCACCAGCCTTCAGGTAACACCCAATATCTCTGCTGCCCCTACACAGAAGGCCTCAAGATCACAGCTTTCTCCATGTGTCACAGAGTGGTCTTCCCCGGGGCACACACTGAGAAGGTCCCACTCCAGAGGCTCCTCAGAACCACACTCACATCCCTGACTTGGCAAAAAGCTCCAGCGAGCAGGAGCTGTAACTCATAGTCTGCCCTGCTGAGGGCAGGATACTTTCCCGGGCTCCCTGGGCTTCCGTGATGTGCCAAGGGACTGGCCAATTCAGCACTGATTGCAAGAGGGGACCCAAAAATTCCAACACATGTGTGATGTAGGGAACCAGGAAAGGGGCGTTTCCTAGAGCCTCTGCAGCAGGTCCTTGTCTCCTGCAAGTCATGACGGCAACAGCACAAGGTGAACTGACTTGTTACACAAAAAAGGTAGAGAAAATGAAACTTTGAGAAGAACTTGAGCTTGAGCTCTGGGCCTGATCAATGCAGCTCTGGACAGCATAGCCAAGCCCCTGAACCTGCCACAACTTTTTTCCGTACACCAGGAGAAACAAATGCAGCACATGACTTGGGGGTCCTGGAAATCTTCAGCTGGTGTGGTCTTGTCCTGCAGCATCACAGTTTCACTGGACTGTTGAGATCCTAGCTGTGAGCAGAGGCCAAAATGGAGCTGTGTCACCAAGTGCCATAGCTGCCCTGTAGGCAGGAGAACAAGGGCCAATCAAATGATTTTTCCTCAGAATTATGTAGAGTTGCTCCCAACATGGGGGTCTGCATCAGGGTCTGCACCGGCCAGGGAGGGCACCCCAGGTCTATGAGCGAGCCCCGATCTGTGCATAAGGAGGGAGCAGGAGGGGGAGCCCAGCTGGGGGACACAGCCTTGTCTTTCTCCTCACTGCTACCCTTGAACTCATGGCTCGATTTAGTCATTAATTCATTCAACTGCTTGTACTTTGATTTCAGGGATTGAAAGTATTCATTTTTAAAGTTTTTTCCTCTGGGATTTCATGGACCTCAGTATCTGTGGAATTAGGTCTGGGGAGCTGTGCAGTCTTTGTGGAATCTTGTTGCCTTGTTTTCTCATTTTCGTTGTCTC